CTGCCCCCCCCCCCCCCCGTGCACGCTCCGTTTCGCAAGCTCGCGTTGCGCGCGGATATCCAAGCGATCGGTTCGGAGACGCTCGCGCGTCATCGCTCGCGACCTCCTTACGATCCGCGAATTCTTTAAGGCGAACGGCATCCGCTGGAATTCCCCCGCGACTACGCCCCGCGTCGAACCTTCTCCCCGGCGCGAACCTTTCGGCTCGGTTCTTCCATCGTGGTCCGATTATTACAGGCCGCGTTAGAAGATCGGCCAGCTGGTGGAGTCGCAGACGGCGCGCACGACTCTTCGAAAGCGTCAAAGCGGCGAGACGGATTGTTCGACGGTGAGAAAACGTGGGCGCGATCTTTATTCGCGGATTCTCTCACGGCGGAAAAAAGAATAATGGATCCGCGGGAGATGGAAATGTAAACTTCTTTCTCGGGGAAGAGCCGAGAAACTCGGCCGGCTGCCGATGCCGGAAAGAAAACGGTTCGACCGGTGTTACTCGGGTCCGTGGACCCATTCGCAGCGGATGCCGCGGCGACGCTAATATTCTATACGTAAATTCTCTCCACTGGCATTCGATATGTAAACTGAAACGAACACTTTGGGAAGAGAAGACACGATTATCCGAGCTTCGCGGCTCGTTTTTATACTATACAAAAACGAGGCTCGAATAATCGAATCTCCTCTTCCACAATTGTCCATTTCTCTGTTTACAAGCTGAGGGACAATCGGAGAGAATTGACCATATACCGCGCACAGCGAACAGCGCAGTCCACCGGCCAACTTCTAAATTAGGCTGACTCTTCGCTGGCCGGTCGTCGCGAATGGAACCTCAGCGATTAGATCTTCGCAACTGACCGTAGGTCATGGTGTCGTCGACCGGCAACGTCTTCTCGGTCTTCCTGAACACCTTGGATCGCCTGATCCTCCTCGACCACTTGTGCCCGGACTTCTTCTTGTTCGAGAGGATCTGCACGGACTCGGAGCTTCTCCTAGGAAAATCGAACGGCGCATAAATAGGTGTGTGACACTCGATCGACGCGCGATCGGTCAGAGATCGTGCCGAGATCGCCGCGCGGTACTCACAGCCGGGCATTGTCTTTAGCCGCGGAACGGAGAGGCGAGGTCGTCGGCTCTTCCAGGTCCTCCCACTCGGATTCCTTGCCGAGGATCGAGCCCGTCGAGGAGCCGGCGTACAAGCTGTTGACCTGCTCCTCTGTTGGCAGGCCGACGTCATCGTATACACCCTGCTCGCAGTCGCACATCTCGTCCATGTCAGCCTCCACGCTGGAATACGCATTCGGTATCGACAGGTAATAGCCGTCGTCTTCGCGGGCCGACTCCTCGTTCTCGAACTTCTCCGAGTCCCTCCATAGCGTCGACGACAGCTTCACCGGGCAGACCACGTCGTCGTAGATGTCCTCGGCGAGGTCCGTCGAGATCGGCCGGTCCTCGGCGTTCCTCTTCGGCGAGAACACGTCGTCGTATTTCGCCTCTTCGTCTTGCCCCTGGGTTCGTCGATCGTGGACACAAAGAACGAGCGAGTTAGGAACGGGTTGTCGCGTGCCGACGCGCATCGCGTGTCTGAAATCGTGCACACGCTCGTCGCAATGCCGACAGCTTCTCGAACGTAATTGTTTTCGAGCGTGAAATTGCTCCGAATTACTCGGATCGTTTCGAGACGTGATTTTTTGATCGTCTCAATCAGTTGCAACCTAAATTCCTACCGCTCGAATTTACAGCCGATTTGTTTCCCTCGACTCAGCGGATTCTCCGTTCTCGAAAAATCCTGCACGCTTCGATCGACGGTCTCGAAGCGATGCCGCGCGCATTCCGCTGACGTATCTTGTAATTAAAGCGCGTGTTAACGGACTACGGGGATAGAGTTCGGAATGATTCACTCGTCCCTCGATTTCCACACGCAGCGTTCGTACGCGGAGCGCGTGGCCTAAATCGTCCGAGTCGAGTCTGCTGGCACGCACACGAGGGAAGCGGATCGAAGATATTTTGTGTGTTCGTTATCGGCGCCGATGAAAATGTAGTAGTACGACAGAACAAGAGTTTGATCCGTCTAGGATAAGCATAGGTATTACTGCGGTTTCAAGGCGAATTTCGACGGAGAAAATAAGTCCTTTCACGCCAATAAATTGACGACTCGAGCTATACGTATATTATTCTTTAACTCGAATGTTTACTTCAAAATATCGGATCTCTGAAAGCAGAAATTTCATTAAAAAGCGTAATGCAAAGGAGCCATACGTGTGCATATATTATCGTGGTTATGTATGCATCTATTACTTGCGGACGTTTTGATTACTGTGTGTCAAGGTGACATTACCCATGTTCTTTACAATGTACACACACACACAGCTACGATTCCTAGGATCAAGGCATTCTTACTGTAGCATTTTACAAATTAGGTGTAGGTATTCCACGATCGAATGTGTTCTTCGCACCAGCTCATCGAGAACTGCGCTGTGTATAGGTTAAGGGTACACAGTTCGGTAAAGCGCCGCAATAATGTACACACATAGTAAAGAAATTATGTGGCAAATATCGCGTTAGTAAATATTTGTGGACAGATGATAGCGCCAGTGTACATCGATCTTTTTATCGAAGTAACGATTGCTTTATCTAAAAATAACGCAAAAAAGGAATAATTTATTATTAATTGCCAAAATATAAATGCCTTTCGAATCAGTGTTCACAGCTGCCATTACGACTATTTCATAAGCTTCCGAACATCGGAAGTCGATAAATGAATTAAAACTGCGATTGCTGTCATAAATTATCAATGTTATTTCATGATAATATGATAATAAATTGTATAATATGATAATAAAATATGATAATAATCATTATTTATTATCATATTATTTTATATGATTATCATATAATTTATATATGATTATCATATTATTTATATACGATTATCATATTATTTATATTATTATCATATTATTTTATTATCATATTATACAATTTATTATCATATTATCATGAAATAACATTGATAATTTATGACAGCAATCGCAGTTTTAATTCATTTATCGACTTCCGATGTTCGGAAGCTTATGAAATAGTCGTAATGGCAGCTGTGAACACTGATTCGAAAGGCATTTATATTTTGGCAATTAATAATAAATTATTCCTTTTTTGCGTTATTTTTAGATAAAGCAATCGTTACTTCGATAAAAAGATCGATGTACACTGGCGCTATCATCTGTCCACAAATATTTACTAACGCGATATTTGCCACATAATTTCTTTACTATGTGTGTACATTATTGCGGCGCTTTACCGAACTGTGTACCCTTAACCTATACACAGCGCAGTTCTCGATGAGCTGGTGCGAAGAACACATTCGATCGTGGAATACCTACACCTAATTTGTAAAATGCTACAGTAAGAATGCCTTGATCCTAGGAATCGTAGCTGTGTGTGTGTGTACATTGTAAAGAACATGGGTAATGTCACCTTGACACACAGTAATCAAAACGTCCGCAAGTAATAGATGCATACATAACCACGATAATATATGCACACGTATGGCTCCTTTGCATTACGCTTTTTAATGAAATTTCTGCTTTCAGAGATCCGATATTTTGAAGTAAACATTCGAGTTAAAGAATAATATACGTATAGCTCGAGTCGTCAATTTATTGGCGTGAAAGGACTTATTTTCTCCGTCGAAATTCGCCTTGAAACCGCAGTAATACCTATGCTTATCCTAGACGGATCAAACTCTTGTTCTGTCGTACTACTACATTTTCATCGGCGCCGATAACGAACACACAAAATATCTTCGATCCGCTTCCCTCGTGTGCGTGCCAGCAGACTCGACTCGGACGATTTAGGCCACGCGCTCCGCGTACGAACGCTGCGTGTGGAAATCGAGGGACGAGTGAATCATTCCGAACTCTATCCCCGTAGTCCGTTAACACGCGCTTTAATTACAAGATACGTCAGCGGAATGCGCGCGGCATCGCTTCGAGACCGTCGATCGAAGCGTGCAGGATTTTTCGAGAACGGAGAATCCGCTGAGTCGAGGGAAACAAATCGGCTGTAAATTCGAGCGGTAGGAATTTAGGTTGCAACTGATTGAGACGATCAAAAAATCACGTCTCGAAACGATCCGAGTAATTCGGAGCAATTTCACGCTCGAAAACAATTACGTTCGAGAAGCTGTCGGCATTGCGACGAGCGTGTGCACGATTTCAGACACGCGATGCGCGTCGGCACGCGACAACCCGTTCCTAACTCGCTCGTTCTTTGTGTCCACGATCGACGAACCCAGGGGCAAGACGAAGAGGCGAAATACGACGACGTGTTCTCGCCGAAGAGGAACGCCGAGGACCGGCCGATCTCGACGGACCTCGCCGAGGACATCTACGACGACGTGGTCTGCCCGGTGAAGCTGTCGTCGACGCTATGGAGGGACTCGGAGAAGTTCGAGAACGAGGAGTCGGCCCGCGAAGACGACGGCTATTACCTGTCGATACCGAATGCGTATTCCAGCGTGGAGGCTGACATGGACGAGATGTGCGACTGCGAGCAGGGTGTATACGATGACGTCGGCCTGCCAACAGAGGAGCAGGTCAACAGCTTGTACGCCGGCTCCTCGACGGGCTCGATCCTCGGCAAGGAATCCGAGTGGGAGGACCTGGAAGAGCCGACGACCTCGCCTCTCCGTTCCGCGGCTAAAGACAATGCCCGGCTGTGAGTACCGCGCGGCGATCTCGGCACGATCTCTGACCGATCGCGCGTCGATCGAGTGTCACACACCTATTTATGCGCCGTTCGATTTTCCTAGGAGAAGCTCCGAGTCCGTGCAGATCCTCTCGAACAAGAAGAAGTCCGGGCACAAGTGGTCGAGGAGGATCAGGCGATCCAAGGTGTTCAGGAAGACCGAGAAGACGTTGCCGGTCGACGACACCATGACCTACGGTCAGTTGCGAAGATCTAATCGCTGAGGTTCCATTCGCGACGACCGGCCAGCGAAGAGTCAGCCTAATTTAGAAGTTGGCCGGTGGACTGCGCTGTTCGCTGTGCGCGGTATATGGTCANTTCCTGATAATATGATAATAAATTGTATAATATGATAATAAAATATGATAATAATCATTATTTATTATCATATTATTTTATATGATTATCATATAATTTATATATGATTATCATATTATTTATATACGATTATCATATTATTTATATTATTATCATATTATTTTATTATCATATTATACAATTTATTATCATATTATCATGAAATAACATTGATAATTTATGACAGCAATCGCAGTTTTAATGATCATAAATTATCAGTGAGATTAATTGTTAGAAGATTATACGCTATAAAATATTAGATTTTGTTACTTTTATAAAGTACCACGGTATTCGGGGCGTGCGCGCAGTAATACCCAGACTTATCCTAATAGAACAGAAAAAGAGTTTGCTACGTCTACGGGAAAAATCGATGGCCGAAGTTCGTCGATTCGTAAACAAGATCGAGGAGAGAACGGACAGAGAACGTGCGTCACCTGATCGATCGAATCGAGCGGACCCACATCGTCGTACGGTTGATCCTCGGCCTCGTCCTCGCGGCCGAGCTTGGTCTCTTGGTCCCTCTTGTTCTTTAAAAGGCTCCAGAGAAAACTGTGGTTGACGCGTGCTGTTTCGTACGTTTTCCCTTCGGGCCGATTCCCGCCGGTTTTCACCAGTTGGCCGCGCTCCAATATCTCCGCCGATCGTGCTCGCAGCTCCAGCAAAAACTCGTGCCTCAAGTCCACGCCTTCGTCCGCGTCAGCACCTGCTGCTTCGTGTCAGAGAAAATCGTCAACCTGTTGCCTCAGCAACAACGTCGATCGGATCAACGTTATTTCCATAGACTTTCGCGGCGCGTCGAATGCGGCGCCCCCGGTCGCGGCGCGAAGCTTCGGGGCTGAAACATCCGCCATCGCGGGCGTTCCTGATCCGGTAAAATCGTACGCAGTGTCCGCATTGTCATTCTTGGTCCGACCAATTATACCTAGATGGACACATGCGCGTGGAGAGGTGGTCGGTCGCAAATGCATGGACGTTCGAAACAGTAACGGACAAATTACAACGTTGAGGAAACAGGTTGCTCGGGTAAAAATCAAATCGGCGTGGCAAATCGAAAAGGAAAGATTTCCGAAGAAAAGGAACACGCTCAACCTGGAATACTAAAATATATGCACTGAGAACGATCTTCCCGAATATAGTGATCCGCTGTCGGTTGCATCATAAACTGCCCCAACAGTCCACGCGCCAAGAGGTACAATAAACGTTATATTCGTGTAATTTAAAATGCAATCGTGTAAACGCGATCGCGATCAAATAAATCTCGTGATAAAGATCTTGTATACACATTAATACGTAACAATAAGCAACATAACATAAACATAACTTATATTGCAGGAACCATTCGTTGCATCGCGAGTTAGCTGTAAAAATGGTGACGTAACGACGCCGGAGGGAAAGACTGGTGCGCAGTGCCCGTGTCGTTCCAGTCACGGTTCGGTGAAACATTCGATTTGACCGATTCGACCAAATCAATGAAAGAATACAGTAAATTCTCCCCGATTTTCCTTCGGCTTGTGAAGAAGAGAATGGAGAATTTGTAAAGAGGAGATACGATTGTTCCAGCCTTGCGCCTCGCTTTTATAATTATTGACAATCGACAACTGTAAAAATGGTCCGCGAATAATCGTATCAAATTGTCCATTTTTGTTTACTGGAAAATTTTGTTTATAGGAAAATTAGAGAGAATTTTCTGCACTTGGTCGCTTAGCAAACGGCGCGATAGCGTGCTTCAGCCCTTATCGTTGCGACGGAGAATTGTTTGACGACGAGCGAATCCGTCGCTTATGGATCCGATGGATCGTTCCCGGAACTGTGCAGAGAAGACCGATAAGATCTCAATCGAGGCGTAAACGCTCGGATTGGTGCTTACCTCGTTTGGCCGGGCTGGGAGTCGAGTTCATCCTGTGGGTCCGATTTTCGCGGTGCTCCTCGGTCCTAGGTGGCCTCGGGGAGGGCACGAGCAGCGGCACCGTGGCACACTTTTCCTCGTGCGTGATCACTGTCGCGAGATCCGAGCCGAACTCGTTCCCGGCGTTCGCGTTGCGGACCAAGCTGGGACTGGTCGCCGAAGCCACGTGAACGAAGTTCGTCGGCGACGAGATCTTCAGGTACCTGAGCTCCACCCTGGACAGGCTCTTCGACCTGAGCCTGGTGTCGACGGTGACGGGGGCGCCGGTGCCCGGGTCCAGGCTGGTCTGCTTCAGTGAGCTCAGCGACGAGCTGAGGCTGGCGATCTTCTTCCTCTTGGCCCTCTTGGACCCCTTGGACGCCAGGTAATCCGGCACCAGGTGCAGCACGTTCCTCGTGAACCGCTTCTTCTTCTTCTTCTCGCCGGCGTTCCTCTCCTCTTCGATTCTGCTTTTCAGCTCTCGCACGACCACGTCCGGGAACATCGATTTCACGACCACGTCCTCATCCAGGCTGACCTCGGAGCTCTCCTCGACCTTCTCCGAAACTTTGTCCTCCGTGTCCCGGGACGTTTCCTCGACGCGAGACGGCAGCTCGATCTTCTCGTAGTCGCTGGAGCTCGACCTGCTTCTGCTCTCCTGCCCCGAAGACTGTCCTGCGTGCTCGGTTTCCACAACATTTGTCCCAGAGTTATTATCGTTGTTATCGTTATCGAGGGGTCGATTCCAGGCAATCTTCTGCTCGGCGGCTCGTCCGACGATAAAGTCTGGCCTCGCATCGGCCGTCCTCGATTGCTTTTCCGTCGACGGTTCCGGCTCCGTTGTCCTTGATCCTGAGCCCGTCGCATCCTGCTCTTCTGCCTAGAGGAGGACACGCCGCAATTTATCATCTTTGTCGATCGAGTGGATCATCGACAACATAAACAACGAGTCGCGAGGCTCGCATAATCGTGTCGCCCCTTTCCATGTTGTTCATTTTTGTGCGCAATCTGAGCGTCAATTAGGGAGGATTTACTGTAAAGCACTTCGCCGTAAGAAGCGTTAACGAGTAATAGATGAACGTCGTTGACAGTTGACGGATGTCTTTAGACGTCCTGATTATTTGTGCAATCTGAGCTATCGATTTACGTTATCGCACGATACGCTCTCAGAACGGTGACGTGAAACTTCAACTCCTCGCCGTGATTTATATTTTATTCGCTGTTGCAGTTATTGCAACATCTTTGATTGTGATCATTTCGATGATAAATGGGATACGGTTTGCTATAAAAATGAGCCGCGAGACACGAATAACCGTATCTCCCCTTCTCAAATTATCTATTTTTGTTTACAGGCTGACAGAAAATTCAAGAGAATTTGCTGCATCGGCGTGCCTGCATTTAGTTGAATGAAATATTGACGACAAGAGGACAGAATTTGATTCCAATTTAAAAGAACAGAATAACGTTCGCAACAACCCCCTTGCACTCGAGCGGTGACCCTGAGCTTCAAAATGATTTCAGGTACTGTCAAGTTTATTTACATCTAAAAACAAAACTACTAAAAATATAGCTATCCTTACGAATCACGAGACTCGGTTTCGCGTGGCACAGAAACGCGTAAGTGCATATAAAAACAAATAAAAAACAAACCGTAGCTGGAAAAATTAATTTTGGATAAAATGGTTTCAGGTGTGAACGGTGCGCTGTTGCTAGAAAATCTCCGTGGTGAGTCAGGCACGCCGAGGTACGGCGAGGGATTAAGCAACGCGTTCTTCTGGACTGGCTCATAGCGTCCAGAAGAAATGATCTCGCGGAGATGCCACGGACGAGCTTAGGCGTGCGCGATCCTCGGACAGCTGTGTGAAACACGCGATCAATGATCGTCGTTCCATCTCCCAGGTCATTCAGAGGCGAGCATGCCGGAGAAAGAGATCAGCACGCGGCCGCCGCCGCCGCCGCTGCAGTTGGCACGCGAAGAGAAAGGAAACGCGTTGACGTTCTTCGACATTCCTGCCGTTTCGCAAATGTTCTAACATTGAATTTTTAGAAAGCAAAACGTCGAGCCGCGTTCCAGCGCATCGACGAGACCGACCAGTTCGGAAAGACGCCTCGACGATAGCAGGGCGTCGCATCAGCGCGTGGTCTACTTTCCCGACGCAAATCAAGCATCAATCTCTACGATCGTTTATCGTCGCGCAGCCTAACGGGATCGATTCGAAAGGATTCCCGCGGAAAGAGCGCCGATCACGTTTCGCAGACTACAGAGGATCTGAACTCGCGGCGACCTTCGGGAGAATTCGCATGCCGGTCACGCGCCGCGCGAAACTGTTCTCCGGGAGAGCCGCGCGCGCGCGCGCGGTCGTCGGGGATGCGAAAAAGGAGTTTTACGAACCTCGCGATCCAAGTACTCGGACGACGTTTCTTCGATAGCATCTAGATTGGTCGCGTCGTTCCTCTCTGCGGCGGCGATCGGCAACAGCTGCAGAGGCAGCCTGGCTCTCTTCAGCGCCAAACTGTCGAGGGTCGCGTAGACCGTCTTCTCCGACGGCGAGAATGATCTCCGGTCGCCGTGGAGGAAGCTCCTGTTCGCTGTTGGCAGCAGGCTCATCCTCGTTCGTCGATGCTATCACCTCGGTCAAAATCTCACGGCGGGAGATTCGTCGAAGCGGATCATTGCCACGGTGTCTCCGCGCGCGACCGGCGTCTCCGCTGCGAACCATAAAGCTCAGCGCATCGTCGGCCGATTTCCCTTGGCTCGGCTCCGCTCGGCTCGGCGGCTCTGCCAACAAAAAGGAATTCGAGCCGTATAACACGGTGAACGGAATTCCGGCGAAACAGCGATAACGCGAACGTGCGCCGTTATCGGTGCACCGCCGCGCCGTGCACGCGCGAGCCGCCGCGGCCGAACGAGTTTCGGACACGCGTTTATTTGTTTTCACGGCGCGATAATTGCGCGCCGTTTTAACGCGCCGCGTCCGCGATAATCGACGGTACAGCGGTACACCGAGACGACGAGTTTCTCTCCGATCCTCCTCGACGACCACGCAGATCAATTCGCCGATTCCTCGAAGGCGTACGCGACGCGCCGAGTCCCGGAGACGCGCGCGTTATTCGTTGAACGGTTCGTCGATCGATCGAGGACTGTTCGAGGACTGCGATGTACGCGAGGATCGATTGCTACGGTTCGACCGTCTTCTGCCAAGGGAGGGACGGCCGACCACGAAAACCCGCCACCGCGATAAGAAACGTCAGCGATGATATTGTTTAATTCGACGCGTGCGCTTCCGACTGTTTGCGTCGCGTCAGCAGAACACGCGGAAAAGCCGACGTCGCACCTCTTGCTCGGCAGAATTCCTGAATCGGTTCCCGATCGTCCCACGTTGCGACGCTTGTCGAGCACGCGACACGTCCTCCTCGCAACTCGCGAGTTGTGAAAGCGGACAATCGTGCCCCGTCCAGCCGAATTACAGCAACGAGGCCCGTTGCGTTCCGTCGACGGCAATGCGACGCGGCTTCTCCTAGGCTGCAAAATATTTCTGCTTCCCGTCGCGAACTTTTCTCTTCCTTGTATTCCGTTGCTCGGGCCCGTCCTTGGCAAATTTTCCGCGATCTTCCGCGAGGACCGATCGATCGTCACTGCACTCGCGTCGCGCCAAACGCCAGCGTGTTTTCACGAGCGTCGCACATTTGGTATACACGCGTCCGTTAGATCGTCTCTGGCGGCCCGCCGCGGGATCGGCGGAGGATCGGCGATCGGCGATCGAGTGACAAATCGCTCGCGCTCGCTGGATTTTTCGAGCGGTTGTGCTCCCGCGGTTCGCGATCGGCCTTCTTCGCCGGTTCTCGCCGCTTCTCGCCGCCGAGAGGCCGGGATACCACTCTTCTGTTCCTCGAATCGCACGCCCTTCCTTTCTTTTCGTTCTCTCTCTCTTTCTCTTTCTATCTCTCTCTCTCTCTCTCTCGCTCGCTCCCTCTCTCTTTCTCTCACTCTCCGTCTCTTTTCTTCTTCTTTTCTTCGCGGTCTCACCCGCGGCCGCTTTCCAACCGCTCCGGAAAAACCGGGCGGGCTCCGCACGCTCGCGAATCGCGATTCGCAATCCGCGCTAGTCGCGCGCGACGCGTCCACGAGCTTCGGATCCCTCGACCACGCGATTCCGCATTCTTCCGTGGATTTCACCTGGCCGGGCTTTCTCGGCCGCTGCCCTTGCCGACGTAACAGCCCGTCGGAAGGCGTTGCGGCTCGTCGAAAATGTGGCAATAAACGCCGAAAACGAAAGAGCCCGCGGCCGAATACCGTAAACGAAAGACGCTCGACCGTTCAAATGCTGTAATCGTAGACGATTTATAAGATCCGCGGGTAGCCTTTCGACCGGAAACAATTGCTCTTTATATTATTCTACTGGAATAAAATTTTTCCTTTTTGTAATTACAGATTCAAATGATTCCGTCTTTTCCTTCGTCGAGCTCGTTTATTCCGATCGCAAGATATCTGCTGTATCTCGCATGGAATTATATTATTATTAATGTAATATTAATTAATATATTATATTATATATTATACTATATTTTATTATATTGTATAGTATCATATATTGTATATTACTCTATACGAATTGTTTGAACTGTAACGTGCTTCGCCGAATAGTTGATAATTTTGTAACATCGCCGTAACGCGCAGATGATACGGAACATATTAACATGGAACGGCAATTTATGTTAATTTATTAATTCGATTAATTTAACATTTATCAAAATCATATTAATTTACATATTAATATTTAACGGAAAGTGGGGTACACACTTACCTAAAAGACCGCTGCGACGAAACAAGTTGGCGATAAGATCTCTTCGCGAGGCATCGTAATCATTGTGACCAAAGTTCCATGTTAAAAACTCGATTGTTCCGACGATCGAACGTTTCAACTGCGCGCACTGTGACGAATATCGCCGAAACCGGAAGAACTCGCGGCCGAGATTCGAGATCGAAGGGTACCCGAGCAGATTCGACGGTCGAAATCATTTGATCGTAATCGGTGCACGAGGCGCTGCGGTATGCGCCGCTGCGCGTCGATCGGACCAATTTCTCCGCGCGACTGATCGTCGAAATCGCGCTCGATTCCTTCGCTCGCTAATCTCGCGGACCGTCGCCGATCCGCGTTGCATCATCGCCGGCATTTCAATGAGTCTAATTACCGGCCGTTTACACTGTCGGGCTGCGTCCGAATCGCCGGAACGTGTCCCTCCACGGTGGCGTTCGTCGATCGGCAACGATCTCCCCGCGACGTCGGCACTTTCGTCATCGAAATTCCACGCCGAGTATTTATACACTTGTTATCTCGGCGCATGGTCGGTTACGTCGGCGGACGTGCGCGGGTTTTTTGAATGTACCGTTTTCACTGGCCGATCGCCGTTCGCCGGCCATCTCGAAGGAAAAGGATCGGGGAGCCCGGCTCGAGTCGGGGAAAACCTGGCAGAGGGAACGCGCGAGGATCGTAGAAAATTGTCTAGAGACTCGCGGATACTGTGACGTGGTCGTGGACCTCGTTCGAGGTGTCCTATGAGTCAGAAACGAGTCGGGCCCCCCTCTCCTCCCGTCGAAAGCCAAAAAGACCTGTAGGAAACGAGAGAGCGACGTATCTCGCTGGAATACGAAGACACCCGGGAACCGGAGTAATTATCCGGCTCTGACGAGCCGACGGGAAAACGAGAGGCGCGTCGCCGGTTGAAACGCTGCGGTCGGTCGCGAGCTGGCGCGGGTTTCTCGCCTGAAACCGGCAGCCGCCGAGACAGAATACGGGGAATCATCGTCGTAGCAGGCGGCCAGGCGAGCGATGACGGTGTCGATGATGTGGCAGGAGGCGCGATGGCCTCCTTTCCTTTTCATCGTTTCCCCGGTCCTTCGCCGATTGCGCCGAGCCTGCGGCCAAGTTACCCTAACATCCGGCAAAAATGTCCGGGCACTCTGATTCCCCGAACTCTAATCGGCGCGATCTTTCGCGAGTAAACCGTGCACGCGTTCCGCCTGATCGGAACGAGACCGCGCTCCTTCCTGAAACACCGCGATTCAAAGTTAAGGCTTTTTCAATCGGAATGACTCCTTTAAAATTGCTTCGGAGGATTGGAATTTTTTCGAGACGTTCGACCAACTAGTTTTCCATGGAATGAGCATACAAAAAGTTGTTTAGTTTGCAACCGATAGGAATGATAAAAAAGATTAGAAAATGATGTTCTTCCGACTTCTTTATCCGAAGGAAAATTTAAAAAATGCATTTCGTAGATCTCGATGGCTTATATGCGTGGAAATTCATCGAAATCGGTTGACCTTGACACGAGCTGTTTCTCGCAGTTTTTCACGAATTTCAAGCAAAAAACAAAGGTCATCTTTCAGAGGCTGTAGCTCGACTATGCATGGCGACCGATTTCGATGAAATTTTCAGCACGCGTACAAGTTACCGAAGTGTACAAAATGCACTTTATAAATTTTCATTATTGATTCACGATTGGCTAAAAAATAGCATATCGACTAAAAACATATTGAAGGGACAAAAAGACTTTTTGTACACTCATTTCATAGAAAACTGGTCCGTCGAACGTCTAAAAAATATTCAAAGTCCTTCGAACCAATTTTAAAAAATTACCTGAACGCGTGCAAACTCGGCAAGCTTTTTCCGTTCGTTCGATCGAAAACAGTCAAGCAGTGGGGATAATTAACGGTCTCTCCCATTGTGCGGTGATACAAACTGTTTGTCTTCTGCCGGGTTCGCATAAGCGCGGTACCGCCGCGCGCGCCGTTCTCGGTGAAAACCGCCCGACAAATGATCTTGAAAGATCTCGCGGTCCCGGCGAAGTCTCAAGTTCCCGTCGGCTTCGCACAAAAAAAGGAAAGAACACAATTGAATCGTTCCCGGTGATCATGAAGTCGCGCGATCGACGACGACGTGAACATTGGCCGCGGCAAATAAATTTTGAGGAGCGCGCACTATATCTGCCGCTCGGTTTTTTGCGGCAGATAAGATTGTACGCGTTGATGGTCGATTCGGTCGGAGGTGGGGGGCGAAACCGGAAGGGATATTTAATCGATGCTTAGGTAGATTCGCTGCACAGTGGTCATTAGGTGCACGTAACGGGCGAAACTTCGCGGCAGAATGTCTCTCGATCAGGTAACTAGGAGATATATTATATTATTATATTATATTATTTATATTATATTATTCGAACACTCTTTTCACTCGCTTATCCGCGAACGAGTTTTTCCGTGGAAACAGGCCGGGCTCAGTCGCTGAATACGGGAAAAAAAAGAAAAGATAGTGTCACGATTCCCGGTCGCTTATCTCCTCACCGCACGCATTTTCACGCATCTCTTTTCGGCTCTTGAATCACGATTTTTCGCGCAATCACGCCCGGACGTGGAAAACACTTACATCGAAAGCGTTACGCACGATCGAATGCGTTCGGTAGATGGTGCGATACGCGCGCGCGCGCGCGCACCGATTGAAGTCCACGTTATCTCGCATTATCGCACGATTTATCGGGTTCGGCCGTGGTCCGACGCGTTCGCGAATCCCCGCCCGAAGAAGGTCGAAGGGAAAATATGGGTCACGCGGCAAATCTGGCCGACGGGTTCGTGATTAAAGAACGGAGCGGAGAAATGCGTGCGAAACGTGCCACAGATTTTCTCGCACAGTCACCGTTAAAGACAGCTTGGGGTCTAAGGTCCGTGGCTCGGACAAGGTCCGCTGCATCATTTTGTTTTGTTAACTCTCGCAGAGATTCGAGCAAGCGTGCGAGGACGTGAAGAACCTCAGCAAGCGACCCACGGACACCGAACTTTTGGAGCTTTATGCCTTCTTTAAGCAGGCAACGGAGGGCGACATTAACACCGGTGAGTATATACGTTCGTTTCTTTGGGTCTCGGTATTTTTCCTATTTTTATTTCACCGTTTGTCGGTTTTCGAAACACGGCTGTGATGATCTCGTTCAATTGTCGACTCGTTTGCAAATTTCAGCGAGGCCCGGGATGCTGGACCTGAAGGGAAAAGCGAAGTGGGACACGTGGAAGACCAAGGAGGGTATGTCCAAGGACAGCGCGAAAGAAGCGTACATAAAACTGGTTGAGAAAATAGTGCAGTCCTACAAATAATAAGTTCAGCCAATTAATTCACGCTTTATTCACCGGTTCCTTGTACTACTTCGTGATGGAAATGTTGAAATAAAAACACACTGATCGTTTATTATGTCATTGACTTTGCCTCTCCCGTCGCGTTCAGACAAGGAACGAACGATAGAATCGAATGAATTCGGAAGAGAACGTTCGAATATTTTCGCATCCGACGTCCTGTGTCTGCTGATCGATAGTCCCATCTATGTAACTCGTATTTAGCGGCGTCGGTAAGGTAGATCGGTCGACACGAAGCCCCGCGCAGCGACTACTCTGCTCCCGTGTATCGTCTATGGACGGTGACCACTCCTAAACACTTGGCGGCGTCTCGCGTGTGCGTGTCAAAACATCGGCAAAAAATGAAGGCGAAAGTTGTTCCGTTGTTGTTGTTGACTTGGGGGTGTCTCGCGAATGGCCAATTTTTAGACAACGATTACAACCAAGGTACGTGACAAGTTCGGCGTTCGACTATTCGTCGATTTTCACGGTGTGTTTACGAAACGGCTGTCGAACAGCTGCGTTGCCGACGACTCTGCTGATTTCAATGTCAATGTTACGTTTTGTTTTCTAACCTAGAAGCTGAACGCGGGCTGATCGAACGGCTCGGCAAGCTGTACGACCGTCCGCGAAATTCAAACTCGGACTCGGACGATTTCGGGTCGTTCCTGCGGCACGCACTCCGCGACGACAGAGAGAACCGGCGAAATGCGAACGAGGAAATCTGGAAAGGTCGATGGATGCCCGATAGGCCGGACGATCCTGCTCCGCCTCCGAAAGTCTTTCCGAAGACCGAGCAGTCGTCGCTCGGCCTTGAGACTCTTCACGGAGTGCAGATGGGCTGGAAGTCCCCAAATTGCGACGACGCCAAGGTATGTCGTGGCACAGGCGAGACTAGAAGTAGTAGATCAATCGCCATATGGGATCGGCTTTCCTCTCTTCTCACAGCATCTCTTTTTCATTAGACAAACTTGACCGTGGACTGGAACGGTTCGCAGGGCGACTACCTGTGCTACCAGCAAAAACTGATACCGAACAAGGTTGTATACCCCATGGAATACTGCGAGCCTATTCCTAAGAATTACGTGGTAAGCATCTGTTCTTCTAATCTTCACGACCTCCTTGATTTATGTTACACCTCTCGATTCCAGGCCCTGCACAAGTGTATGCAGGAGACGATAGAATACCTCGACGAAATTCCGCTGTAGTAAGTACTCCGTACAGCTAGTTTTGCTAGAAGAGAAACTAACTACCCGTTTCCTTTTTCTAACACCGTTTCTAATACGGTTACGCTATGTATTCCTTCAGTGGATCGCACAGACCTCTCTGGCCCGTCTACGGGGAGTACAATTTCCTGCCGAAGCAAAGATGGTTGCACAGTCTGGAGGTACGTAATTGCATCGCTTAATCTCTTATTTGTGACCGCATCAAACCGAGTTTCCGTTTAATTCTGTCTGTCCGCAGCACGGCGCAATTGCTATGCTCTATCATCCTTGCGCCAATCCGCTGGAGATAAAGCGTCTGAAGGGGTTGGTGACCGGGTGTCTGCGCCGTCACGTGATTACCCCTTACAACATGCTACCGATGGATCGGGTGAGTAGAAACCCCTTGCAGTATGTTACCCAGCGAACACGCAAGTATGAAACCTGCAGCTACGCTATTACCGACATCAGTCGCGACCATACCACTGAATTTCGTTCTCATCGATTTTCCAGCCGTTGGCTCTGGTAGCCTGGGGATGCAGATTGACCATGTCGTACACGAACCCTGCAGTGGTAACTAACTTCATCCAAAAACACGCACTCAAAGGACCGGAAAACATACCGAGAGACGGAGACTTCGACGAAGGACTCGTTCGAAGGGCCGAGGACGTGTCCGACTTCCTAGACTCGAACTTGTGCCCTAGCAGCGCCATTGCTTAAGCCTAATCTTCTTTCGCGTGTTCAGTTATTTATTTATTCGTTCACCGATGCGTTCGCTTCCTGAAAGACTGCTGTTATCCGCGCGAACGTAGGATGATGACCGACTGGACACGTTCTGCGCGGATAATTAAACGCTCCACCTCCGTACGTTTCGTATATTATACTCTTTCTCTTTGTATCGTTTGCATACAGTTTTTCTCGAGAAAAATAAAGAAAGTATGAAAAAGTTGTGGCGTTTCTTTCGCTTCGATCAATCGAATACGGGAATGGTCGCCGAACGATTGGCGAAAAGGAGACGAATGAATGGGAACCGTTGGCATTTTACTCCCATTACATATTCTCGTATATTGTTCCTTTGTCGAGAGAAGATCGTTAAATACATTGAACATCGTGTCGGTTTCCCTTTAAATTCTCTTTGCGGACTTCATTGTCATCTACAGACAAGTATTAAGTAACTTCATTGTAGTGCTGGCTAATATCAGTTATTACTGCGGATACTTCGACGATATATAAAATTAGGGTAAGACGATTAACGCTACCATGTTTCATTAATGTAAAATAGTCTACTCGTCTACTCGATGGTAAGTCGTTAACGTAAAAGAATATATATATGTATATATTGTTGTATATATTATATATATATATATAATTGTACAGTAAACGCTTGCTCGGCTTCTCCTCTTCTGTTGCGATGGATTCGCGAATCGAACCGATCAGGGTGCGCCGGAAACGAACCCAGCTCCGTTCATCAAGGGATCCCGTTTTTCTTTTTCAATTTTCTGGACACCTGTTCGCCGATTTCTCGCGACCCGATTACGACCTCGATCCCGATCGCGACCCCGCTCGACCCGATCCCCATCGGTTTCCTACGTTTCCCGGCCTTTCTCCTCTTTTCCCTCGTCTCTTTCATCGCCACCCTTCTCCGTCGAGCCGAATCTAGCACGATGTTTCTGCACGCCGACAACCTAATCGCAGCGTGTACCGCGACCATACTCACGGAGAAGCGAATGTTTGTTTGTGCATGGTTTGTCGACGACGAGACGAGACACGACCGATCGTCGTCGTGCTTTTCTTCGTCTTCTTCCTCTTCGAATGCCTCCACTACCTGTTCGTTCCTTCGTCCTCTCGCCTCTTCTTCCACTATTATTCCTGTTCTCCGCTCGTTTTCAAAGGGAATCGAAATTGCCATGTTGGATTTCTTAAGATTATTGCCAACTTTGTACACGGTATATCGATAATAAGAATGATCACGGCGATGGCGATGGTCACTAAGTAGAAGTAAATTTATGTGTCGTAACAAAGAGACAAGAACGGAACAGCCGATCTATCATCGTCTTGTTTCTTACGAGAGGGAGGGAGGGAGAGAGAAAGAGAGAGAGATATTAAGGGAGAGACAGACAGAGAAAAGAACCATGTGTGTGTCTGTATGTATGTGTGTGTGTGAAAATATCCGAGGGCCACGCGACGATCATTACCGACACAACGGATGAGGACCGATAAATCATTTCGATACGATTTCGTGATCTCTAGCAATATCGGTGGGCTCTTCTGCTTCCATCTGCGTTTCTCTCGAGTTCGCTACCTCCCTCTCAGGCACTCGGAACAAATGCACTCGATCGCACATGCACCCGCAAACACACACGCAAGCAACGCTCTCACAAACGGCATCGGCTATACTCTCGATTCCTTACCGGGTTTATACTCTTCCTTCCTATTCCGTTTGCTTCCTCTCGCCACTTATCGCCGCGTTTCCGTTCGCTCGCTCTTTCTTCCCCTTTCTCTCCCGCTCTTTCATTCCCCTAGTGTTTGTCACGTTCGGATGAACGTTAAATTTTATTAGTTAATCTCACTTTGTCGACCATCTCTTAAACGTTAACGATTTGTTCAACACTGATTCCATTCGATCGCTCTTTATTTTTGTTCGTTTGTTTTCTTTTGTCTCAAAACATTCGCAAACTTACGATTTACGGTTTGAAAGTGGAATTGACACTCATAAGGTTATTTAAATAGTCTCTCGAAGTAATAATTGCACCGATGCGACACGACCAGTATTAGTCTACGCTCTCGACGGTTTGTCGCGATCAAGATTTCTAAAGCGTTCCCTCTGCTCCGTCGCGGTTTTCCTCTCCCCCCGCGGACAAACCCTCCCCTACTGCCCCTTTGTTCGATCCTCTCGATCCCGATTTTCGTCGTGCCCTCGTTCCATCCGTCGCCGATCGTTTCGTTCGGCTCGGTTGTTCGCGGCTCCCTTGCGCGAATCTGTTATCCAATTTATCTCTCGCTCTCTTTCTCTCTCTCTCTCTCGCACATACACATGCACCCTCTTCCGCTCTTTCTCACCCCTTCTTTCTCTCATTCCATGTTATATGATAGCCAAAGGCCGTTTCTTTAGAACATCGCACGGTCCCCGTGAACCGTGTTCCCCGATTCCCGAGCCGATAAATTCGAATCTACTGTGCGTCGCTAGCTAAGAACGCGAGAACGGACAGAACGAGAGTCAAGCTAAAGGGTGAGAGAAAGAGAGACAGAAAGAGAGAGACAAAGAGACACAGAGGAGGATAAAACAATGTAAGTTCGTTCGTTAGGCCAAACCGAGTGCCGCGAATTGTTGTCGATCGACAAGCCCCGGCAGAAACGTTCGATGATGAATAAGCGCGCGCGGTTCGATTTCTTCAATTCCTATATCGCGTGGATTCGCCAAGGGACCGAAGATCAATCGATCGATCGGCGATACACAATGGAATGGAACGATCAGCTCGGAGGATACACGGTGGTACCGGTCGCATCGAGAGATTTCCACGAGTGAAAGGTTCCGCTGCCGAGTGCTACAACGATTAAATACTGGAATCGGCAATCATGATACAAGATGGCGATTAGGGGGAGCTATCGAATCTCTCGCGAAGAACAGAGAACAGCGGAGACAGACAGAGAAATGCGTAGAGAGAAAGAGAGAAAGAATTTCTTCGATCGTTCGTTAAGTAGGATCGATGGAAAGAAAAAAAAAAAAGAGAGAAATCTCTCGATCGCGATCGGCGGAATAACGAGAGGTTCGAACGCGAACGGGAGCGTCGATTTCGTCGACGGAACACTGAACACGATGCACGCGCGTTGCTCGATCGTCCACGATCGCGATTCGGATCTCGGCGATGATCGAGCGTACGCGCAGTTGCTTACCGACGATCTCTTCGGCTCGTCGCAGAGGGATTACACGTAAACGTTCATCGTTATTCGTTAACGAATGATCAAGTAAATAGATCGTGGCAACGTAACTATCTATAAACTAACAATTATTATGCCTCTGTACAATGCAAAGTGATTCTTTAAGTATCGGTAGTTTTTATCGTTTATCATTTAGTATCGTCCTCTTCGTCTTCGTGATCGTCATCGTAAAACGCGTCGTACTTTCCTTCCGCTTGTTTCATTTATATATCATTTTTTTTCTTCGCCCCTATTCATGTTTCGTTACGATATAATAATCGTTTTTATAATAGTCGTCGGCAGCACGCGGCGTCGCGTCGCTCGGGTTATCGCCATTTTCTTCGTTCTCTTTTCCTTTTTCTGTTACTGTTTTATTTCTTTTTTTTTGTTTGTTTGTTTCTTTTGCTTTTGTCGAAGTGAGGCGAAGCAAGGCGAGGCGAGGCGAGGCGAGCGCGTGCCGGCGTACACGACCGCCCTGCGGAATGCGGAAATTCTCTTCATCTTTTTTTATCGTTATATCATTTTGAAACATTAACCCATAATCTTTTTAAATATATGGTACCTCAACGTTCATATAATATAATCAACAAAACATTAACACGAACGTCGCTCGTTCCTTGCTCGAAAAGCGATTAGTTAATTGATAGTTCACGAGCAACAGGCGTCGCGAATAATAAATTATTATCGTTAATATATTACTCTTTTCGACTGTGCCGACTAACTATTCATATATACATGTAACGCGTGAGTGTTTGCATGTACGTGTGCACGCGTGTGTTTCTCTGTGTTCATCGTTCTCGTGTGTACGTGTTCAGTATGACTTCTCTATGTGTGTGCATGCGCTCTCGCTCGCGTATCTCTAGTGTATATGTATATGTATTATGTTTACGTGTCAATATTTGATGTCCGTTATATGTGTATTTGTGTACGTATGTATGTATGTATGCATGTGTGCGTGTGTGTATGTCGAGTGTGGTTTCGGGCGCGCAAACGCATCTCCCCGCTCGTGTTGCTCTGTGTACTTATATACGCTTGTATACATTTTTCGCGTACGTACGGTACATCGGTACGACCCAGATATTATTATCGACGTTTGTATTACCGTTAATTATTTCCCCATAACACCTATATTATATTATTGCTGCAGCTTTATAGACACCACCTCATTTCCCCTTTCTCGCGCGTAGCTTCCCTTTTCAATTCTGCGTCGCATCTGTTAGCCTCTTTCGGCGTTTGTTCTCGAACACGGCGCGGCGAGAGAGAAAGACATATACATATATATGTATATGTATATATATGCATATATCTCAATTCGTTCCAAAGACGACGCACGCACATGCGAGCGCAATCTTTGCGGAGATTGTGATCTGTTATCCCGACTCTGAACAAATTCTTCTAGCGATCGACGGCGCGCCGCCGATCCAAAATCATCGAAGCGACAAAAACAAACGGTTTCGCTGGATCCGCGAAGCGCCCGTGTCCGCGTCCCAACTTCGCGCATCGACAAAATCATTATTGTACGCTTGCACGATAAATTTGCGGAGTCTACGGATCTAAGTGTCTCGGAATTTTTTTCGAAGCCCCGTTCGCTCAGAGAAATCAGGAACGAAGAATTCTACGTTATCGTACCGCACGAGGCGCTATCGTACAAAATGACTTCGACCGGGGGAAAAGACTGTGGGAAGATTTTGTCGTGGCGCGACGATAATCAGGACGTAATTACGCTCGTCGTCGTCGTCGTTGTCGTTGTGTCGTAAGCCCACATTCACTGCCGTGGTTCGGCGAACGATACGCTGGACACGTTGGACGTTGGACAATAAGTTCGCTTCGCTTGTGTCGGTGGCAGCAACGGAAAGTGCGGATAAAAGTTCGGGTAAACCAAAGACGTTCTATCGCGTTCCAGAGGTTCGAAAGCGGTTCGTGTTCGCGCTTCTCCGCCGGGCAAAGATATTGGATTTCATCTGGCTGCGAAGCGTGGCTGGCGGCGTTCGCATCTTCGACGGGTCCAAACACCGACGAGTCTCGAGATTCGCAAGCGGGACAAACGGATATTCACCCCTCGCAGACGGCGTACATGATATGTAGCGAACGCACGAGTCTGTCGACTGTTTCCTCACCTCCTCTACGATACAACCGAGACACGCGAGAAGCTACGGAGCCCTGTCTCCCGAAAGAAGAAAATCCCGGGTTCGCAGTAACAGATCGTAGGAACGGAAACGACGACGACGATTGTCTGTTCGCGAGTTTCTCCTCTCGCGAGACGGACTCGAACGTTCAAGCTCGATTAAACGTTAAACGGCCGACGGAACGCGTCCCCGATGGACGACGATTCCGCTTGAGAATAGAAAACGAAAAGCGTAAAGAAACCGGGCGTAGAAAGAAAGTGAGGTCAGAGTACAGAGAAAGAGGGTGAGAGAGAAAAAGAGAGACAGAGTGAGAGACAGTGAGAGTGAAAAGAGACAGTTTGTTGTCGCGGTACGGGGAAGTCGAACCATAGGTTCGCGATTATCGAATCGCCAGGTAATAATCGTCGACTCGGACACGAGCAGTTGATCCGATCGCCGTTTGGTACGCGATGATAGGCCGAACGGCTCTGGCACGCCAAGACTGTGGTGTTTCCACGCAACCGCAGGAGAACGACGATCGAGCAAGCCAGCCCTGCTCGAGGCCGGTCCCCCTCCGTCGCTGCGACGGATGATCGCGTCGCGTCTGCGTCGGTTCCAGCCGAATCCGTCGACGACACGCGACGAGCGGAAGCAACAGAGAAGAGAATCGGCGGCCCAGGCGGACGAGAGAACGCGTCTACCGGGACACCGACGATCGCGAGACCGGGCCACGACCTTGTCGATCTATCAAGGTCGATCGCGGATTCGCTGGGAATCGAACGAGACGGAACCGATCTCGCCGTGGTCGGCGCAGTCGCGACGAACGACGATCGTGCATACGACAGCGGCGGCTGTGGCGATGATCTCGATGATTTCGATGATCTCCGTGATCCCGATGAGGTTGGCGCCGGTGAACTGGATGAGGATGACGGTGACGATGACGACGACGATGGCGGTGACGTTCCTCTACTCGTTGTTCCACTGTCGTTCGGCGGCCGATCTTTTTCGTGGACAAGCAACAGCAGGATTATTTGGACGACGACCGAGGCCGAAACGAGAAGCGATGCTCGTCGACGAGGACGTGGAGGCTGCTGGCTACCGCATCGTCGGCGGGACAGTCGACGGGACAGTCGACGCTTCCGACGTCGACCGGGCGGACCTTGGCGATCGTTCGACTCCGAAACGGTCCGGTGTCCTGCGTTTCGGCCCGCTTTACCTGGGTTAACATGCTGCCGGTGGTTCACACTCGCACTCGTACACACGACGGCGACGTCTTTGGACTGTTCTGTAACACCAACCACCCCGGGTTAGCCCTTCGTTCTCGTCTTTCATCCCAAGCTGTTTCGCGGCATCTCCTGTAGCAGCCGCTTATAGGTTCTATATGCTATCGTAAATTTAACATGACCAATTTAATATTAATGTATTTTAGTTTGTTTCGTTTGGAAATCTACAGATATGCAGGTTTCACTTTCTTCATCTCAAACACAGGGCTGCGTAAAAGCAAGACACAGTTGTTTTTATGTTTCTGGTACCCTCTCGCTTCTACAAACGGCGTCGACGTTAGTTTACGACGATCTCTCCAGCGAGAAACACTTTGCGAATCCGTTTGTTATTTTAATATAGAAACATTCGAAATCCGTGTGCAGTGTGCCTTTGATCGATTCGAGTCCATTTGCCGAGCATAAAAGTATGGGTAAATCACGCAACTTACTACTCAACGAAAGGAAAAAGAAGACTACGTAACCAAAAGAAGACATTTGCTGAACCGTGGCAACTATTGTTAACGCTAAACCTGCCGCGCGTTTTACTAACATCTTTCTTTAGCTATTCGTCCTTCGCCCGCAACTTTACGCGCGCGTATGCTATTCGCAAAAACAACAACAGCCGCGTAAACTACCAGTTAATGTTCTCAATGAAACTGACTTCGTGGATATCGTGTCGGGTGCTTCACGGTGCTGGTTAGTTAACGCGACAATGCTCAATCGAATGGACGTCCGACGACTGTGTGCTTTCAATTTCGTTCGCGTCCGCCTAAAAGCTGTCCGTGCAGCACGAAGATGCGATTCCGTTTCTCACGCCATGTGCCGGCAGCGACGACGATTCCAACGGCGTACATTCAAAGAGCTCTACGTGTTCCTTCGGCATGCAGAAATGCTTTCGTATCGGTGCACCGCAAAAGCTCCTCGCATCTCGATTTTAACTAAAAAAAAAACTATCACAGGAATGAAACAAATGCCTACGATCATCGACAAGGTAAAAAGTGCTTTCGTGAAACGGTGTCGCGATGCATGCTCGTCGCCCGTGCAAGAAAAGAAACGAAAAGTGCGCCGTTTCGAACGGCGCGCCGATCGTCTTGCTCCTCTAAATTAAATCTAGCGACTCTCGCGTCTAAGAAAGTGCGGGCAAAGGGGGTACCTGTTTGCGGCGTTCACAGTCCAAAGTATCCAGCGACGGTGGTGGCCAGAACGACGACAAGTATGGCGACGCATATCATGATCATGATCTTCTTCTACGCTCGGCACAATCGGAGCGGCATAAAACACAACAATGGGTTAAAAGAAGGTTCGCCGACGCGTACTCGTCGGCACTTTAATCGAGGACGGCAGTCTTCTCCATTCGCTACGACGGCGCTGCGTTTTCTCCTCCTGATCTGCGTCGATGCCCCTCGAATCGCTTAAACGTGTCTCGTGCCTCCGCCGAACTCTGTCCCATTCGACAATCTCTCCGTAACAATGATTTTCTTTTTGTCGGGCCACGGTTACACTAAGCAAAACGAACACTAACAATTTGTACCGCGCTCGCGGCTACAGTTACAAACCATCGCCGTTCGTAATTCGTAATTATTATTATCTGTTCTATACAAATGCGATTATGTACATTGATAGATGCCGCGAGCGGGATCGCAGCCGCTCGCGAGGCATCGGGACCCGCCGGGTACCGAATCGTTCTTCGGTACCGATTTCGCGCGTAGCTCGTTTCGGTTGTCGCGCGTCCCAAAAATGCTCGCAACACTTTTTTTCCCCCCGCCCCGTGTCCCCCTGCATTCCTGCGGCTCTGCGCTCGCCGAGAGGAAAACCGGGCGCCGTTCCTCTCCTCGCTGTGAACATTTCGTTGCAGATCGTTGGAAGATCTGTACGCTCGCGTCGTTGCTCGATCGTTCGTTGAACGCGACGGAATGATTACAAGGACGAACAAAAAATGAAACGAGAACCGCGGCGTGTCCGCGTTGGTTAGAGCTGGCTGATGCGTGTCCACTTGCCTTCGGCGAGGAAATGAACGGAAATAATGAACGGAAAAACGGCGAAGGCAACCGATTGGCGCGCAGCTATCTATGTCGAAAGACAAACGGGAAGGAACACGACGACGGCGAGATCGAGAACCGTTGGTCGACGGGAGAAACGCAACGTGAACGGGCGACGAATCGTTTCGAGTCGGAGACCAAGGTGACCCCAAGGTGTGGCCAAGGTGTCCCAAGATAAAGAACGTGGAGAACGAGGCGAACGCGGGGGGAACAGGAGAAGGGCGAGCGGGGGCAGACGATTTCCTTTGGCAGAGAGAACACTTCTTTGTACGGGCTCCTTCGTGTCGACCCGCCCTCATCCCGGTCCTGTTCCGCCGCATGTCCTATCCTAATCTATATATTCTACTTGTGTTATCCTATCCGTTCGGATATCCCACGTCGAATCGTTTTCGCTCTCGCACAATCCCACGGCGAACGGTACACGCATCATCCCCGGATCCTCCCCCGATACGCCCCGATTCTATCGCGCTTGGGTATCCGGCTCTTTAGCTTCCAGGAACGCTCGCTATTATTATGGAGATTAATATCACGGCCAATATTAACACGCAGATTATGATGAAGATCATTTTCTGTGGACAGAAAGAACAAAGCATACGATGCGCATAAGAGATCGTCGAACAACGGGGGGGAACAATACGGTACACAGCTCGATGATGGCAACACACACCACGAGGACGACGAAGAGACGACGAGATACGAGAATATAATCGGGCAGCCGAGAGTAGTCGAGTAGTGTGTGTAACACAAAGCTTGCATTAAAAAACACCAGAATTCTAAAGGAACATCGATGTATACGTGTGGTGTCCGTCGTCGCGACGCGACGCGACGCGACGCGACGATTCGGGGTCCGGTAACAAGCGAGAAACGAGATATCGATATGCTTGCACAGTCAAGAAGAACAACGAGTGAACAAACAACGGACAATGAGCGAACGAGTGGTTGTACAAACAGACGGATAGAAAGGCAGACAGGCAGAGGGAGAGAGAGAGAGAGAGAGAGAAATGAGAGAGTAAGGGAACGGACGCAGAAAGAGAGAGAGAGAAAGAAGCACAACGAGCGTTTGTACTTTACACGCGCTTAACCGATGCGTTTCGGTGTCACTTCCAACGACGGTCGATTTCTTTCCATGACCGGCAGCACCGGGAATTCACTAGAGACGAAAGAAATCGCTATGGGACGATTCGGGATCGTGAATCGAGCTTCGATCCTTCTCGCTAAATGTTGATCGCGGTCGCAGTCAAACCAGAGAGATCCTTGTCTTGCCGTGTAGCAGAGAGGAGGAGAAAGCTGGATATTCTTGGGAATCGAACTAAAACGCATCGGTGATCGGCTGGAACGCTCGGGATCTAAAGATCGACGACAACGCCCAAGGGAGAACATCGACTCGCGACGCGTGTCGTGCGCGTGTATTTCGGAGCCGGTCTACCAGAATCTCTATAGAAACGAGAGGGAAGGTCAGACGAGATTAGAGAGCATCACACGAAACGGGCTGTTAATTCGTTCTTGCAGGACGGTGCGGATTAGAACAGTTGCGAGCAATCTATGTGTGTCCGAGTGCATACATTTGGCTCTGTAGATTCGAGCAACAGTATGGTCAACAACTTTGGGAGATGCCTGCAACCGTTGCGAGGAACCGAAACTTTTACAGCGAATCGTGGGCCGATATCGTACGTCGAATATGCGAATAAATTTGTATTCAACCGCTGTTTCGTTGCAATCGGAACGGAGAGAAGTTTTAATTTCCATACGCGGTCCGGCGATCCTCGCGCAATTGTTCACTGATTACAAATGTAACGGTGCGGTGAAGAATCGAAGACAAAAACAGGAAAAGTTACCACCGAGAGTTCAATCTGAACAGCGTTTCGCTGGCTGGTCCGGATAAAAGAGCCGCGGAAGCGTATTCTTGTGTACGCGGTGTGTACGATGTTGGCCGCAGAGATATCGGGAACCCTCGCAACAGTTGTTTCGAATTTTAGAATATCGGTTCTCCCGTAACTGTTTGAAAGAATGGAATCGATATATCGTAACCGTTTCCAACCCCTGGTCTGGATACACGCGTACACGAACGCGCGCGACCACGGCTAAAACACACCGGGGCACGTGTTTACAGAGCATGTATAACACAAACATATCAGTATAGGCGTACAGATGAACGGTTTAGAGTTAGTAGTAGTAGTAGACACACGCGCATACGCACACACACAATCGTGTAGAAAAGCAAAACTGCGTTGCGCCGCTTGCCCGCGAATCTGTCATTGATAGGGGTAACGCAAAGCAGCGAAGCGCAGCGCATCCTGTATTCGCAGAAAGCAGAAAACAGCAGGCCGCGCTTCTCGACCGATCGACAACGGCGACAACCGAATCGAGAACGCTAGAGTTGTTTAGTCGGCGAGAGAGCATAGATCAGTAATACGCAGTCATGTTAGTAGTACGAACGGAGACAAACAGTTCAGGGACGGAGGCACAATTAGCACACTCACGTTCAACAGGACAGAGCGACACACAGATAGAGAGACGCATATTTACATCTATGTATACGACGATGCGTGTGCATCCGTTTGTACCACCTACCATTTAAATGTCGGCGGTAGAACTCTTAATTATCCTCGCAATCTCGTTGTAATTAGAAAATAATTTCATCTCTTTTATGCCGACAATCGTCGCGCGCGCGCGCGCGAATTTATTTAGAAGGTCTCCCGGTGATCGCCAGCGATATTTCCAGCGTTAACTGATGGCGAGTTAACGCCGGGGATACGCCGAGAGGTGATACAAACGTCGCATGAACGTGCACGCAGATCCGTATACATGTAACGATATTTCACGTTTCTGCACCTGCCAGAGCCAGAGCGCGTTAAATCATACTCCTAGAAATCATTTTTAACTCTCGGATGGTGGACGCAACCGTACGATTCTCAGCTTTGTTCGCCAATTATTTATAATACATTTTTCACAATTAGAGATCTATTAATCTTTTCGCTGTTCGCAACAACGCCTGTTCAAAAATTAAATAATCAAGCTACGATCTCTGTATTATAGATCAAAACAGACCCGAGGTCCCATCGTCGGAGGATCAACGATGATTCAGAACAGTCTGGCTCTGCGGTGCAGCTCGACGTACATATATGCGAGCAGCGATTCGATAAGAGGAATGTTAACGCGCGTAGAAACGTGGTTTCGAAGTCAACGTGGTTTCGAGTTATATTCGTATGTTACGCACACAGATAAACAATAGAGACAGGCCAAAGGAAGAGAGAGACAGAGAGAAAGTGAGAGCGGTAGTACGAAAAAGCATAGAGGATATCGAACGCGATACAACCAAACAGAAGGGAGATATGGGACAGCGGGAAGCGTCGCTGTAAGATTTTCAGGAACGAGAATATACCGGGAGGAGAAACAAAATGTGACCAAACGGAGGCAAACGGAGGGCCAATGGATTCGGGTAGAACAGGAGGCGCACTCACCCGTCGGGCTTTGCTTTGATACTTGAGTGCTTTCTTCGTGTCCTGGGTAGCCGTCTGCACGTAGTCCACCGCGTGCTCTACGTGGTACTCTATGCGATCTATCATCTCGCCCTGAAATTAAGAAAGCGTCGGTTCAAGCTGTTCATGAAGCTGGTTCGTAAAGCAATGCTCATGCTTGTTTCAGGCTGACCACGGTGGTTCGAACCGTATACGCTAGCTGGACGAAACTTAAGACTCTGATCTACGCTGATCCCGCACATTATCTTGTCATTCGGCAGAGCTAAGTTCCTCCCGTTTCTATTCGAAGAAGAGCATGAAAATCCGGTCTTGTCCAGCTAGCGTGCTGCAGCCAGAGTTACCTGGCTCTCCACCAACATGGCCATGTCCATGAACATGTCGTGGAGCTCCCTAATCGAGTTCTCTAATTTGATGATGTCGGCGTGGCGAGCCTCGATATCGGCGAGCGTTTGTTTCGCTTGTTGCGTTTCCATGATGATCTACGAATAAACGTGGTATCAGTGGGATTATCTCCAAAAGAGTAGTCGAAGAGTCGAAAGAACAATTCTTACCCCTTGCGTGAACACGGCCGGATTTCCCTGTTCCAACATTTCCTCGAGTTCCTCGTTGGTGGTCGTTCTTCCCGCTGCAAGCGGCGAAATATCGCTCGGTTAGATGGTAACGGATTGCTACGATCGCGTCTATGGTTTACGCGACTAGCGAAAGAAACTCGAGCTTACTGATTTCCAGCTGTCGCTGTATCCTTCCCTTGCATCGCTCTCTGTAATCGGTCTGCGTCCGATTGTACTCCGTCATCACCTCGACGAACTTCCTGGACAGCGTCGAGTGCTGTGTCTTGCGTATCCTCAGATCCGCCGACGATTTGTTTGTGTGCTCTTCCTGCTCGATATTTTGCTCTATCACTGTACACACCGAGACAAACGGTTAGAATCGTATTCTTCGACGACGCGCGCGGAGGACATTGGATTGTCTCCGAAGTACTTCTTCGGCGATCTTTCGCCGTTCCGTGAGCTTCCGCTAAATCTTCCCGACAATCCAACGTTCTCCTCCGTCGCCGGAGAACAGAGAAATCAGTCGCATACATCAGGCGCAACGATCCGGAGGAACGATCGCCGATTTCGATTATCGCTCACCCTTTAACTTGGCTCTGACTTTGTTGGCCGTCTTCTTAATGTCCGACATAAGGTCCTCCAGTTCCATCTTAACCTCTGCAACAAACAATCGGCGAGCATTTGGTCAGCTATCGACAACAATCGTTCACGTTCATGAAGGTTTTTACCTGTTCCGACCGATTCACTCCGTTCGTGGGAACGGAGAGGATCTCGACGCAACAGTTCCATGACAAATTATACTTTACGACGGGATCACGGTTCATTCCGGTGCACGGACAATGGATCGAGGATTGAGAAATACGAGTCTTCGTAGGACATTCGCCGAGAGATCCGTGACTCGGATACAGCATTGGCTTGTCCTTGCGCGAGAATGAATCCCGCGCGACCTCGGAGACCGTTTCGCAATATAGGCTTTTCGGGAATCGTATGCGAAGGTGGCTAGATCAAGGGGGATGATGCAGCGGCTCGGGAGAGAGGCCGAAGACCCTAGGACCCTCATTGCGAGATTTTCAGCACGAAATTCGCGGCTCGGATTTAAAATTGGCTTGCGCCCGCGGAGGAGCGTCGAACTCTGAGCAATCTTCGAGACTATTTGGCATTCAGTAAATACAATTAATTGTGACTATGTACAGGCTTTCCTGAAATGATTCGTAGCTAATTAAGGGTTCGTCCTAAAATAAGAAGCCCTCGGCAAGACACAGAGTCATCGCGAGCGGTCAACTAAATTGCGGAATACTCGGTAGTCCGATTCGGCTGAATCAACGAGCTTACAAAAGACGAAACTGTTTTCGAAAGAAGAGACAACGCGTCGAAATACATCATTCGAAAAGGTGCAATGTTGGGATCGGTGACCACTTGTCGGCGGATCAGGTGGGTTCGTTGAACGCTTCGTGCAAGAGAATCGGCGGCGGTGGGGGGCGCGGGGCTGTTTCGCGGCAAGGGTACGAGGACGAGGACGAGGACGAGGACGAGGGAGGGGCACGTATTCCCCTGCGTCGAGGGTGCTCGATGGAATTGGGTTAATACAGGGTGGAAACGTGCCAGACCTACTTCTATGGCCTCTCGAGACCTCGCCACGCTCGGGATACGCGGGACACGCTCGAATTCGATCGAATCGCGGCCGGCGTTTTCCCGGCCCAGAAAAAATTTCGCGAACGCCTAGGGAGAGAGAGAGACATTGTGTCTCGACGCCGGGACGTTTCGTCCGCTGGAAATCGCGCGTTCGATGGACCGGGGTACGCAACGCGGTGCACGGGGCACGAAGGACAGCGCGACGTGCTGGTGGGCTGCGAAATCGATCCGCGTTAACCTACCACCTACGCCACCCTGCCTACTTCGGGCTGCCGTGTGTGTCCCTTTTACCCGTTCGCAGCCGCGACAGCGAGCGATTCGGCGCGATCCAGCGATCGGCCGAGCGCCGCGATCGCGGGGACCACGCGGGCCATGGATCGTTTCGATCGCGAGACGACGGATCGCGAGAAGTGGGAACGCGGCATAATCTCGCGGTTGTCTCGCGGCGTTCGGATGCGTGACGAGCTCCGAGGCGACGCGTTTTGCGTTCCCTTTTCCACGCTAGCCGCTGTCCCGATTCGAATATTTCGCCTTTCGAGGAGCGACGGAGAGAGCTGCATCGATCTTTTCGCTAGACCGCCTCTCCTTCGTGTCGGCCAACGCCGGCACGCCGTTTCTCTCCTCCCTCGCCCCCCTCCGGCCTATCGGTTTTCCTCGAGAGACATTTCTATCTCCGTCGCGAATCTCCTCGTCCGATCGGCAACAATGACAGAAGATGCCATGATAAACGCTGTCCAACCGGACGAAACGGGAAGAAAGAGAAGAAGCCGACTGCGAACTAGACACGCCGAGGGATCGATCGGAGCCCAGAGGCAATCGTCGCCGGGCCTACCCTTCGAGGCGGCGCGAAAGGCGGCCGCGAAGGGGAACGAGTGGGAAATGTCGGGTACGTTGACATGATCTGCTTCCGAGATCTAACTCCGGTCGAAACTGGAGAACGGCCGGAGCGCGCGAAGATGAAGCAATTACAACGTGCTCGACGTTACAACGTGCCCGCGATGCTCTCAAACGATCGCGCGGCTCCTGTACGGATATACCGCAACCGATGGCGGTGTGCCATTTTTGGCAGAAATGACCGAAACGACCCGGGGTTAATCCCTTGCATTAGAAGAAAACTTCGCACGCAGTCTACGAAATGTGCAGTGGCTCGCAAAAATGTTCGGACATCTTTTGCATGTTATATTATATATAATTATTGTGTATAATAACTTTTATATTGCATATCTTCGGAACCAAGATATTGAAATCGATGGAAACATATATTTGCAAAAAAAATCAACAGTTTATTTCTTATAATTTTGTACAGTAAGATAAATTATAAAGCATTCCAATGCAGTAAACTTTAATCCCCTGAGAGAGGGGACAACGGAGTACAAAGGGTTAAAATGGAATAACTTTCTTTGGAAACTGTTCTAAGTGACCTGAATTCTTTTTTATGATAGAGTGGCTAAAGTGCTGTTTTAAAATTTTGCTATTACTGGGAATGACAAAAAAGATATAACACTCTCGTATTTTAACTTTTCTACAGGAGCCTATAACGAAAACTTAAAAGATTACGATTAGGGATTTCATTTTATTGTCATTCCAAGCAATAACAAAATTTAAAAAAGATCATTTCAGTCATCGTCTAGTAGACTAGACCCTCTGTCATCTGAAAAAGATTCAAGACACTTAGTCCCAGTCATAAAAATGGTGTAAGAACACTTTTGTGGGCCACTGTAGATCTCATTCTCCTCTTCAAAATCGAGACACGATTTGATTCTCTTTGCATCAAAATCTAGGAATAAGGATAAACGATGTCGTAACGCGAAGTGAGATAAATGCAGGCTGGTTTTTGTAAAGTTAGGCAAAAAAAGGTAGCATATCTTCTATCTGCGACAGAAATAGTTACTATTGCCTATGCAAGAAAACATTGTTAAAATGTTACCGTTCAACGTGTATTTACCTTGACATCGTTATTTCCTTCGAATTTACATAACGACAGAAAATTGTACGTCGTGTCAGTTACTGTGCACTTGCCCCCAAAACGGGGCAATGCCGTAGCGACGAGTTAAAACCGTATTGCAACCTTATCGTGTGAAATGCGGGGCAAGATCGCGGTTTCTGACATACATACATACATACATGTATAATTCGCTTCTTATAAAAGTAAGCGGAAATTGCTAATTTATTGTAGAATTCTACAAACGGGATACGGTAGACCGCAGATTATCCGGCCCCGCTTTAACCGCCGGCTACGTTTTGTTGACATGAATTTTTACGACTGGTCATTGTTAAAAATAATTCTCTTTCTAATCTTTTTGAGTCATGCGAAAGGAAGAACTGCGCTACAACGTGATTCATGCGGTAATAAATATAACTGATTAAGAACGCGTTTCCACCGTTTCTGCATTGTACCCCGCCTTCAGCTTGCAAGAAACAAAAATTGTCTCGTTCTATCAGAGAATTTGATAAGAATGAAAAAGTGTTGATCAACCTAGAGATGCGAAAGAGGTCGTACTGCAACGGATTCACGCTGAATCAACCGAGAAGTAACAGTGACTATTGTGAATTGCCTCTTGTCGAAGTGAGAACATCGAAATCATTTAGATCTTCCAAAGCTTTTGTTGCAAATCTTGCTGCATTAACGCAATTTATTCAAGAATTTCCGTGAAAGGATCTCCAGTGCGTGCAGAATTGTGAAATAAAAAACCGGTAACTTCGACGGTGGTAGGAAAAGTGTTGAATAGTATTAATAAACGATCGGTCCGATCGAACATCATTCGCCGGGGGTGCGGACATTCGCCGATTACGAGAGCAACCGGTGCCACTGGCACACCACCGGCTTCTCATTCCTTCGTGTTTCCCAGCACCCTTATTTGGTCGATTCGCTCGCATTTTCCCTGCTTCGCCTCGTCTCGCGGTTTTTCCCCCGCTGTCGCTTCTTCCCAAGCAGAAAAGAACGAACGAAATATCTGGAGAAACGCGTCGCGTTACGAACGGCGACCAGAAAATATAATCGTTCGAAACGGACGGTTCTCTCGTTGGAAACCGACCAGCAACGACTGCATCGACAGTGACACGGAAGCAAAAGGGATCATCGTGCGGTGACACTCACTTTCGTCGGTCTGCGGTGCCGACAAGATGGCACTGTGTTTTTTCTTGACATCCTCGACGTTCGTCTGGATCCTGTCTATCATTTCACGGATCTCCTCCACCTGGATCAGAGCGAAACGCATTGTTAATTGGCAAATAAAATACAATAGAATACAACGCGGTACGATCAACGCGTCGCGAGATGCAGTAATTTCTCCCTAAAATTGTTGGGAGGTCGGAATTGAAAACGGCAGATCCGAGAATACTATGTCGCGATTCTTCGAGCCTTGGTGAACATTAATATGCATTGATATGCATTGATATGTGATAGTATGAAAACAATGAGTTAACTTTTTTATTTCGAACATTTTGCCACGATTCGGAGACAATTCGGAGGCCACGTGACACGTTTCCAAGGCAATTCGGAGGCCACGTGACATGATTGAAAGACAATTCGGAGGCCACGTGGCACGATTCGACAGTCTCGTACCTAGTACAATAAATTCCCTCTAATTCGCGCTCAGATTCTGCACAAAAATGGACAATTTGGGAAGAGGAGACACGATTATTCGAGCATCGCACCTCGTTTTTATAATTGTTAACAATCAACAACTATAAAAATAAGCCGCGGGGTTCGAATAAACGTATCTCCTCTCTCCAAATCCTCCATTTTTCAAGAAGCTGAAGGAGAATTAGGGAAAATTTTCTGTTGTTTTCCGACCCTTAGCATCGACGTAGCAATAAATTACATAGGCGTCGGACTGGCACAGGGAAATTTGGCATTTACCAGAAGAAATTACCGTATCCAGCATCTTCGGATCTTCGCAGTCGCGAGAAATTCGCGATGGCAGATCGAAATCTATGAGAAATCGACTTTCGATCGAACGATCGATCGACTTTCGTGGAACGGGGAACGATGGTGAACCATCAGAATATCGTACTCACCTCAGCAAAAAACTCTGTCATGAAGTCATCTTGGCCCCCGACGTTGACGGACACGTCGTCCGCCACGTCATCGTCGTCCGACTGGGCCTGAAACCGAACCAATTAGTCGTTACAGAACCGTTCCCAATTATCCTCGTCTCTCGGTGCACTAGAACCACCACCGGCCGGGAGGAGTTCTCCGCGTCATAAAGATTTTTCTGCAAGTGCGTCATTAAATTGGAATATCGCGATCGGAAGCCGGAGAGAGAGAATATCTACTTGTGCGATTTCTGTGGGAGAGAACTTGAGAACAAATTACATTCGATTACCCGGTGGTTCCAGTGCAAAATCCTCGAGACTGCCGGCTACGAAGCCGAGCGCGCCGGCCGGATCAATCGCGTCGTTTCGGCGCACAATCGACGTTTCTTATTTGTTAAGGGTGGCATATTGAATTCGCGAGGTTTGCGGACCCGCGATCGCAGTCTAAAATCGACGTTGCAGACGTGTGTGTGTGTGTGTGTGTTCGATACGCGGCCTCGTTCCGTCGCCACATCCTCGTGCATCCTTGACTAAAACGCGATCGTGACGTGGAGCGCTAATAAGCGGCGCGCTTAGGGTTCTCGACGCGAAATACGAATTTTCTGCACCTGTTGCGAGAAACCAGGGTCGCTCAGGAATCCCCTCTCGTTTCTCCGATAATGTTAGCAGGTCGGAAGCGATGCGTCGATACACTTCGTTTCGTTCGTGTTCGTCGATACTCGGATTCGCAGTCCGGGGCACCGATTCCACGCCGTAAGGGTTGGTCTCGCGAGCCACGCGGATCATTCGTTACCACCCCTGGGCCCAGGGTAAGGGGCCTCGCGCTCGAGACCCCTTTATACCCAGGTTTTTCCTGGCCACGATGGTTATCCGAAATGGTCGAACATTTTCCATGCCGGAGCCAAGATAAAAGACCTTACAGCGAAATCCTCTTACCGTCGCCGTTGCTCCGCCGAGGTGGGTGCTATCATCGTTAACCCTTTCCCTTCTAACGCGAACNGAGACACGATTATTCGAGCATCGCACCTCGTTTTTATAATTGTTAACAATCAACAACTATAAAAATAAGCCGCGGGGTTCGAATAAACGTATCTCCTCTCTCCAAATCCTCCATTTTTCAAGAAGCTGAAGGAGAATTAGGGAAAATTTTCTGTTGTTTTCCGACCCTTAGCATCGACGTAGCAATAAATTACATAGGCGTCGGACTGGCACAGGGAAATTTGGCATTTACCAGAAGAAATTACCGTATCCAGCATCTTCGGATCTTCGCAGTCGCGAGAAATTCGCGATGGCAGATCGAAATCTATGAGAAATCGACTTTCGATCGAACGATCGATCGACTTTCGTGGAACGGGGAACGATGGTGAACCATCAGAATATCGTACTCACCTCAGCAAAAAACTCTGTCATGAAGTCATCTTGGCCCCCGACGTTGACGGACACGTCGTCCGCCACGTCATCGTCGTCCGACTGGGCCTGAAACCGAACCAATTAGTCGTTACAGAACCGTTCCCAATTATCCTCGTCTCTCGGTGCACTAGAACCACCACCGGCCGGGAGGAGTTCTCCGCGTCATAAAGATTTTTCTGCAAGTGCGTCATTAAATTGGAATATCGCGATCGGAAGCCGGAGAGAGAGAATATCTACTTGTGCGATTTCTGTGGGAGAGAACTTGAGAACAAATTACATTCGATTACCCGGTGGTTCCAGTGCAAAATCCTCGAGACTGCCGGCTACGAAGCCGAGCGCGCCGGCCGGATCAATCGCGTCGTTTCGGCGCACAATCGACGTTTCTTATTTGTTAAGGGTGGCATATTGAATTCGCGAGGTTTGCGGACCCGCGATCGCAGTCTAAAATCGACGTTGCAGACGTGTGTGTGTGTGTGTGTGTTCGATACGCGGCCTCGTTCCGTCGCCACATCCTCGTGCATCCTTGACTAAAACGCGATCGTGACGTGGAGCGCTAATAAGCGGCGCGCTTAGGGTTCTCGACGCGAAATACGAATTTTCTGCACCTGTTGCGAGAAACCAGGGTCGCTCAGGAATCCCCTCTCGTTTCTCCGATAATGTTAGCAGGTCGGAAGCGATGCGTCGATACACTTCGTTTCGTTCGTGTTCGTCGATACTCGGATTCGCAGTCCGGGGCACCGATTCCACGCCGTAAGGGTTGGTCTCGCGAGCCACGCGGATCATTCGTTACCACCCCTGGGCCCAGGGTAAGGGGCCTCGCGCTCGAGACCCCTTTATACCCAGGTTTTTCCTGGCCACGATGGTTATCCGAAATGGTCGAACATTTTCCATGCCGGAGCCAAGATAAAAGACCTTACAGCGAAATCCTCTTACCGTCGCCGTTGCTCCGCCGAGGTGGGTGCTATCATCGTTAACCCTTTCCCTTCTAACGCGAACTGCACAGCCACTCGACATCCGAGCCTTCTGTGCGCCAACAACGACCATAGTCGGCGGACTAAATTTCGCACCCGTTCGGCGGGAAACTCGATGAAATATTCAATAGATTCCATACAGAACGAGAAAGTGCCTTGCGATGCTCCCGATTCACGGGGAGAGGCAACCACCCCTCCAACCCTTTCCGCACGAAAACTATTATCATTATTATTATTATTATTATTATTTATTGTACGCGTAATAAAGCAGTCTCAACGAAGCTACAAATTAAGCTGAACGGAATAAGATCGCGCAATTATCTTTTCGTCGACTCTTAATCTTCTTGTTCGCTTCAAAAATTATCCCAAATTCGCATCGGTCGAACGCCAAAGAATCCTTTAGGGCAATCTGATACTTCTCTACGTTGTCTGCGAGTTTCTAAAGATCTCGCGCGCCTAATTGCGCCTAAGAAATCGAACGGACCGAGCAGTATTCATCCCCGAACGGTGAAGCATGGCTCGCGTTCGATGTTCCAGAAGAGAAAAGCGGCAGCGCGCATCGGATTTCGGTCGTGTGTGTTCGATGAAATTCTCGAAAAACTTAACCCGAAGTCACCCCTGTGCTCTATCGGGGGGATCAAGGAGCAATCAACGCGCAATCAGCGAACCGTTCCGACTTACGTTATCGATTCTCGTTCAACGAGCACGCGAGCTCTTCGTTAAAATCGCGGCGGCCCGTTCGGATATGGATCGCAATCGTTCCTCGGGAAAAGCTGATCGCGAGGTTGCCAGGAAGTAAAGCCGGCCAACCAACCCGACCGACCGACCGACCCTCCATTATCGAAGAAGGAATCATCGAACGCGAGATTAACCGTGTCCGATTAGGATCGGGCGAACCGTGGCACGCCGCGATAAATCGGCGCCGCTGAAAATTCGTTTAGGCGAAACGAAGGAATAAAGTCGGGATCGGATTTTTCTAGACCGGGTATCGTAATCCTTCCTCTATCAGGCGAGATATCGCCGACTCGTTAACCGGCCGCGGCGGCTGAATTTTCCTTGAATTCGAGTCTCGCTCGAACGTTTCCACGTTCCAACGAATCATCCCGACTGCGTCCCGAGACTTCGAAATCGTATATCGACTCGAATCGTAACGATTTAAATTCGGCTAATTTAAGATCGCCTGGAGAATATCCCAGGCGTTTAACATGCCGAATCGGAGATCCGTTCCGAAGGCTCGAGGCCGAATCTCGCGGCGGCTTGTCGTTGCTCTCGACGATCTCGGCTGATCCTCGGGGATCAACGACAAGCGACACCGCGGTGTTTCTGTCCCGGAGATGCTCGCCGATAATTCTTGCCGCGAATCGATCAGCTAAACGACTCTCGACGATCGGTCGAGCTCCCGAAGACGCGACATTAATCGGTGGAGCGAACATCCCTCTATCCATTTTCATCCGAGACCTTTCTTTCTCTCTTTCTCTCTCTAGCGAGTCTCTCGCCTTCCCGGCTCGGCCTTTGTTTCCATCTCCTTAACCTAGCTATCCAGTAACCCACCTACGAAATGCCGAGCTTAGCAAAATTTGCCACGAGACGTCGTCGAATATTGGTCGCCGCTCCGGTCGCCCGAACTTTCCGAGTTCCATTTCGTTTGGTCCCTCCCGCAGTCGCCCACGCTCTTCTTTCTCATCATCATTTTCTTCTTCTTTTTCTTCTGATTCCTCTGTCGCTTCCCCACAGAAGAACGGCCGTCGAAGACGCGTGGCGCGAGATTCATCGTTATCGGAGCCACGACCAGCCCGAGCTGTTATGTCAATGCCGCGGGAAAAATGCCTTCGCCTCCTTACGGGCCCGCCCCACGTTTTTCCACCTAGCCGAGATAATATCCGCCGGCCGAGGTGAAAAAGCAACAGGGAAATCAAAAGAGAAAATAGAGTACGCCGCGACTGACACAGGATCTTCCGACGAAACCCGAGATACCGTTCGCTCGGATAATCATTCGTGCGTTTGTTGCACACGCGAGAAACAGCGTGCATTAGACAAATGCGATGGAAGAAAGATTAAATATGAAAGCGCTCCGCTTTATCGGCGGAAAATGTTTGTCACGGAGCTCTACGTATAGCTGTGTTTTTATATGCTTTCGATAATGCACCTGTTTGCATAACAACATTATAAATAATCCGTCGATATGTTAAATAAAACGTGAACGATCACCTCTGCTCGCGAGGCTGACAATTAAACTGTTTCTTGCGGATGGAAATTTTGGTAACATTAGTTACCTCTTTCTCTCTCTCTCTCTCTCTCTCTCTCTCTCTCTCTCTCTCTCTCTNTAACAACATTATAAATAATCCGTCGATATGTTAAATAAAACGTGAACGATCACCTCTGCTCGCGAGGCTGACAATTAAACTGTTTCTTGCGGATGGAAATTTTGGTAACATTAGTTACCTCTTTCTCTCTCTCTTAGTGAGATAGATAGAGAGAGAGAGAGAGAGAGAGAGAGAGAGAGAGAGAGAGAGAGAGAGAGAGAGAGAGATATATAA